CAAAAGCATGCATACAGGCAGACACACACTGTGAAAACCTCAGAATAAAATGATGTGATGGAGTTAACATGACAATAAGCTGCACATAAGTATGGCACCTCACCACAGAACCTGCGGTGAGGTGCCATACTGAGATGGCAGATAAGGCCCATTTTGTCTCTTTTTTTTAACAAAAACATTTGACAATAATTTGATTGTGCTACATTTTATTTTATTTCTCTGTAACTGGTAACATTTAAAGCACATTTTTAACATTCAGATAATATTCAGTTAATCTTCAACACTGCAGGGCTGGATCTGTCTGCTGCGTGACTCTGCCTCTTCAGCATGTGGGGACACAGTCTGTATAACAAAGAGGGACAGGTTAAATGACATAGAAACTGTTCTGCCGTTTTAACCAAACAGTGGTGATTGGATAACATGTTGCTGACAAAGTTTAAATAACTGATTGTTGCACAAGTTGAATCCAACAAATGCACAGCCTGCAGGGGCAAACCCGGACACTGTTTTGGGAAAAACACGGCAGCAGGTCATTGGATTCCTTAGAGAGCTCACTGTTTCTCCCTCTCCCTCTCCCTCTGACTTCTGATAGGCAAAAGTATCCACCACTAAATCCATGTTTGCTGTGCTTTTGTAACAAGTAAGTTCTTGCTCATTTACTCCAAATCATACTCTTATAAACTGGCATTAAATAAACTGGTCATACATTTGAGTGAAACAAATCTTCAGTCTAACTGGAGTTCCAACATATTAAAAACCATTTAGTCACTGTTTATAGTTATATTCAAAACCTCCAATAGCCTTTACAACATCAATAATAAAGCAATAAAATTTTACAATCCAATAGCGAATAGCTTCTCCATTCAGCAACACAATATATCTTATCAATTCCATTAACTTATAAATCATTTAATTCAGATACACTACTGTAATCTCTCTCATTGGCATTGCTGCAGAAACATGTCTACAGTGTAGACACAAAGTATCCATACATAATAATTACAGATTACATTATAGTAAGTAACAGAGAAGGAGAATACATATTTTGTCATTCAGTCACCGGGCACACAGCAGAGCTGCAGCTGTGAAGGTGAAATGAAGATTGACATGTAATGAACTGAACCAGTGAACCTTTTCACAGTTTCACTGAGCAGAACATGCAGAAATGCATGAAATACTGCAGAGCATGGACAAGATCCTGAATGTGTGCCATGTGCAATGACCTTTGAAAATATTCAGTATACTACACATTAAGCTACATGTAAGCTACACTGACCGCTAAAGAACTGAAAATCATTTATTGCTTCTTCTTTTTTTTTTTCAGTTTCCAGAAAACCCTTCTTGTTTGAAAGGAGCATTTTACACGTCATTATGTCATGGGGGTTCAATAAAAAGCTGTATTTGCAACGTTTGTCAGCTGCTCTATTTCCCTCTGCCCCCTTTTTATGCTAGTCTGTTAACTATTTTCTTTCTATCAAATAATTACGGCTACCTGTTATTTAATGGTTTTACACATTGAACTTACTGATTACATGATCCTGGTCCACAGTACCACAATGACCTAGAAGGGAGGAAACAGTTATTTAAAGGCAGCTCAAGAGGCAGGTGTATATATGTGGAGAAATCAGTGAGCAGAGTTTGTGTATTGTGTTACATTAATGCAGTATGTTTTAAATACTCCTTTTGATAAGTAAAGCCATATATTCCAATCTATGTTAACAAATATGCTGAATCTGATCAAGCTAGATTCTAGGGGCTTATTATGCCACCTTACATTTAATATTGCAGTTGTGTTGTGAACATAGTTTATTTCAGACAAATATACATACTGTAGGTGGGGAAGGGGAATAGGTATGCCAGTCCCAAATGTTGTTTTTCAGCAAGCTGCTCAAACTTGGCCAACATTGGCTCTGACAGATTGTCTACAGACCTGCCTGCATACAGAGCACAAAAACAAACATTGCAAGTTTTCAGAGCAAAACAAAAATGATCAGAACTACCACCTGGCTTTTACATTCAAAATACCAAACCACGGTCATATGCCAGAGGAACCCACCATAGAGCTTCATGGTGATTTTGCCCCGTTTGTGGTAGTACATGATTGCATAGGAGTTGTAGTCTGTTTCCCCGATCACTATCTGAGTGTCCAGCTCAGGACGAGGTCCTGGTGGAAACAACAGAGGGCACAGTCAGACTAAGGGATGCTGCAGTGCACTTTAATTTATGAATCAGGCCTAATAAGGTAATAAAAAAAGAGCCACTGACCTTTAAGTGTTAGCTGGCCTGGGGCTGGTGACAGATTGTAGACCTGTAATATCTCCCAACACTGGTGGTTACTGAGGAGGGAAGAGAAGGGTTTGTACTAAAAACTGAAAACATATACATATACACTTTATATATATGGTGTTTCGTAGTCCAACCACATGCCCTAGGCCAGATTGAACTATGTTTCTAATGTCATATGAGAAAAGGACAAAAGAAAATTGTTTTTCTCTGCGTTGGCCAAAGAGGATTTATAACCCTCAAATCACAATATCACGGAATGTCCCAGAAAAACATGACACACACTTTTTCAATTTAAATGGAGTATTGCACTCCCTGTTTTTCTACAAAAGCCAGGTCAAGATGACCTAAAAGCTTTGAATATGGTAAGGGAATGCTGATGGATTCAACTGGTTTGCCTCCTTCTTCCTGTTTTTGAGGACACAAACAAAATCAAACACATGTGGTTGGAGCATGAAGTCAGTGTGGCATATGTGCCCCCTCTGCTGATAAATCAAGGTACTGAAGAGTCAACAGTGAGCTGCATGCACAGAGTGTGCTCAGACAGTGGTACTTACTGTCTTGTTTTAGTGCTAACAGACAGTGTTTGGTCAGGGGAATTTGTGAGGGTCATGACTGTAGGCTCCACCTGGGTTCCATGTTTTATCAGGTAAGAGCATTTGGAGGCAGTGTTTAGCAGGTACCATGTTCCTGTCATCTGCAACACATGCAAGCAGGATAAGGTTCGAGACTGGACAAATAAGCAAAATGTTCACATATGTCCTCAGTGTCGGAAGTAATATTTGAAAATGGATGGAAAATTCTTGGGTTCTATTGGACCAGGGTCAAATAAACGTTCTCTGTTCTACCAATGAAAAGGATACATCTGCTTCGAATGTCCTGCTTCATTAAAATTAGTTCTGTTCAGATTCTGTTTCACTGAAAATTCCCCTTATTGCCCCAAACTCCATATTGATACGATTACACAAGCATGTCCACATTGCCAGCCCCCACACTAATCCATAATCAAGCAGACTTACATGTTTGTGTACCTTATAAAAATGTAATACATTTGCTAAAATATTTCTGTTTTTTGCATGGGTACTTGGATAGAGGTTTCCTGAAACAGCATTTAAATATTAGCTGTTTTAGTATCCTTTTATATTCAGCAATATGTTAGATAAGGACAAAAACCAGCTGCATTAGTCAATACCTGGCAAAGGTTAACTTTGCCTATGTTCTTCTCAAAGCAATAATATCTATTTTTCGCTATTCTGTTAAGATCATTTCTTATGGTTTCCACTGATTATTTTGCAGTCGTATTTGTTTATGCTATTGTGACATGGTACAAACAAGTGAGAAACAGAACTGAACTGTCAGTGTGCAAAGGTCAGGTAACGGCACAGTGAACTATTTACATGTACTGTGGTTGGCTGCAGCTGCACTCCTCTGCCTGGAAACAGTCACATTTATCAAAATGAGATCTCTCTTTTCAGTGCAGCTTTTTCATGCTTTCTATAACTTTCTAAAAATCACTTTATACCAAACCATATGCAATCTTTTTGATCTACCTTTCCTAGTTCTGTAGCTTGATTTAGAAGCAAAACATGGGATGGAAAGAAAAACTTAATACACAGATGTAGACATAATTCAGAGGTCAACACACAGTCAAACACGTTACTGTATGTGATCTGTAACTCTGCCTCTTCCTTCAGTTTCTTACCTGCTGTATGTCTATGTTCTGTGCAGGTTGGGTCACATCAGTAGCCTCAACCTTTGGCTTCTTAGGAGGTCGTTTTTGGGGTCGTGGTCGACTCTTAGCCCCCCCTACAGCCTCAGTGGAACTCCACAGACACATGCACATCAACACCAAGACTACCACCATACATCGCCATACTCCAGCCATGCTACCGCTAAAGAGTCAGTCTTGTTCTCCTATAGTATTGCTCAGGTTCCTGTGTTCTTACTTTTCTTTTTTCTAAATTCTTCCCTTTGTATTGGGTTTTCTGTCCCCTCTGTCTCTGTCTGCAGTATACCCAATCTGCTTTACTCAATCCCAAATCCACAGACACAGAAGAAATGCACAAACAGACAGGGAGCAGGAGACAAACAATGTGAAACAGAGGATGGCCTGTTAGGTTAAATATTAACTTGGTTTACTGCTAGAAATGAGGCCATAATGCAGGGGGCAACCATAAATTCTCATTATTAAATGCTGACTTTAATATCTTAATAAACTCTACAGTCCATACAGGGTAACCATAGATTCAGATAACGAACAAAATGTGCATTTATTGACAAATGATCAGTCAATTTGATCTACAAATGTAGCACCAGATGGAAAAACACACACCGCAGCAATGTCATAACTTCCTGTGTTTTGCAATCTCCACAGAAAAAGAGGTCTTCTTAGTTCGGGCACAGTGAATTTTGACATTTTTCAGACATGAAGACAAGTCAATCATAATGATTTTTTGTAACATCAGTGGTTTAGCCACTATGTCCCACACTAAAGTGTCAAGTTGCTCATCCAAACTACACTTAGGGACAAACATAATTAAGACAAAATCAACAAAAAATTTAAAATAATAGAAAAATAATCAAGTGACTGAAGGAGCTGATGGTCTATAGTTTGAATTTGGGTTTGTTTGAATCTTGTAATGTATGTTCGGCTGATCTGTAGACTTCTCTCCAGGGCGTTTATCCAAAGAGGCTGAGCTCAATCCAGTATCTCTCTTTAATAAACGGAAAAGTCAATTCCCACCTAAATTCAAACATTAAAACATTTTGTGCCGCAGAAGGCCTCCCGCTTCCATTCCTGTACAGGTCAAAACCATACCCCTGGACCTTGATTTGACCTGCAAAAAATCAAACAGTAAGTGTGTTTTCAGTGGTTTAGGCAAGCTATGTAATTCATCAGTTTTCCTCAGGCTTGTCAGGTGTGTTGTTTCCTCTGGCTTTAAATGTGAGGGCCACACTGTTGATACAGAAACGTTGACCTGTTGGATCTGGTCCGTCATCAAACACATGACCCAGGTGGGCATCGCACTGCATGAAACACATAACCAAAGTCATAAGCCAACCAAAACTACAAATATGATGGTTGTATTTGAAGAAAAGCAAAGTATGGATAAGATACACATTAAACAACTCTGACTATACTGCTTCATAAAAGACTGCACACAAATCTATATGAACTAGAACAACTATACTAAACAAACTGAACTTTGGCTTCATAGCACAACTCACATTTTTACAAAGGACCTCTGTCCCTGCACTACCCAGGCTGTTGTCAGGGCGACGAATGATGGAGGTGTGGCTTTCATCCCGCTCCCATGTCCCATGAGCCTCTTTGAATGCTGGCCAGCCTGTCCCAGAGTCATACTTGGCCTCTGAACTATCATGAGAGGAAGGAACATTTCCTCAGTTAGCGTCAACCAATATATTTCTGAATAAACATCTAACACAAATAGTTTCAGCTGGTTTCCATTCAACATTAGTATTTGTAGTAAAATGGTAACTAGTATTTTTCTATAAAAATGTTTTCTTGTCACATATTGAAGCCTACAAGGGGTAAGTAACTGACAAAAAATCCTAATATGTGGGGAAATATTTCTTTAACAATCAAGCGCTAACTGTTACCTGAAAAGTGGAGATTCACAGCAGACACAGTGGTACATCCCCACTTCCGAATGGTTAAGGTAGATCCCACTAAAGGGCTGAAAGCCCACAAAGACACACACAGTGTTAGAAGCAGAAGCACAGGACTAATAGTTGAAAACAGGTTTTATGTCCTTAAATTCATGATTTTAAGTGCAATAGATTAACTTGTCTTTTTTCTTATTATTATTACATGTAGAAATTGCTCTGTGTTTGCAGCTGAGAGCAGCTTCTAATGAATTAAATGCCAAAGACACCAGTCAACAATACAGTGATGAACAAAGTCCACTTGGAGCTGTGCTGTTGTTTATGAGACAATATGTATGTCAGTCTGGTAGACTGAGGTAATGTTGGTTTGACACAGATCACTGTATTGGTGTGTATGCAGTACTCACCACCTCAGTCCCTTTCTCTCTGGTGACTACATACTGCTCAGGGGTCAGTTTCTTTTGCCAGTCTGTAGTCTCATCATAACGGGTGAGAGACTGCAGGCCTGCAGAGAGAAGAGGTTACAATCAAGAAGTCACCAAGGAGTTTTTAAAGGTCCTGATCTATCATGAACGCTAAATTGCTAAGGCAGGATTTCCTACCCTTTCAACTAAAACCCACAATGTTAAACCACATACATTTTAAAATGTTTGTTATCACATAACTTGGAAACAATTAACTGTACTGCTAAAGGTAGAAAGGAAGCACAAGGAGAAAGGGTCACATTTCTAGACAGTCTTTAGACAACAACTCCTCAAGTAACAGTAAAATTCCACTAATCCCAGATTTATTGGTAACCCCCTCTCGTGCTTCTAACCACAGTCCTCTTTGCACAAGCAATAACCCGTAGCTGCCTGTTTCTTATTCCTAGTGCCCTCCAGCAGATTGAAATGCCCTAACATATCCCAACATCCGTGAGAAGAATAAAGCATGGTGCACCTGCAGGAGTTTGCAGCCTGTGATACTAGACGGTGTAGTGCATATCCAAAGAAAGAAGTGACAGTAAAGAAATCAAACCTTGAGATGTGGATACAGGGCGGATGAACGCTGGGATCCTCCTCGGTAACACCACGGATCTGGCTGTGGCGTGCTGAGAAACGACCGCGAAGAGACGGGGTACAAAACGAGACATGTTTGCTGCCGCTGGTGTGTCGGCTCTTGTGTAAAGTCAAGTGCACGTATCAGTGGAAGCCAAGAGCGCAGGCTGTGTCGGGATTGTTCATGCCGCGGCGAGTTCGCGCTGGTCCTCCCCCGGCTGATGCAGGCGGTTTGCAGGGTGACCCGGTCAAAAATCACACCTCCGGCTATATAGGTCAAAGTGGCTTGAGTTCTCTGGCTTTTTATTGCTGACCGCGTTCAAAGAGCACCATATCGTAATTGTGCAGCACATTTATGGCTAGAAAAAAATGCTGCATTGGAGGAGGGGGACTAATCTGGTGTCAGTAGTTATAGTAAATGTGTTACAATCTTTTCAACAAAACTATATTCCCAGTATAGTACAGTGAGGTTATTATTATTATACAGCAAGGTGGAGTTAAAAGACACATATTAGAGCTTTATTTGGACCTGAGTCCCTATGCTGTATGTCTCCTGCAAAATAAATGATCCAAAACTATTTTTTCTTTTCAATTATCTAACTTTAGTTGAGTCACAAACAGCTGCCAGTGTCCACCTGCTAACCAACTCAAAGCCATGTTCACAGACAATTTCCCATTTTGGCTTGTGCATAAACAAAAATAATCAACTGACCATTTTAATAGTGTAGTTTAATAGTTGTATATTTATAAAAATCAACCATTTATAATGCATCTCAGTAAAATGTCAGGTCACAGCATTATGTACTATATAGTCTGATATTGCACAGCAGCAGAGGTATTGGCTTTCAGCAGACTTCCAGGCTGGTGCATAAGGTCCACTATGTAGCAGCAGGGCTGTGAAGAGTGACCATCGCTGGAGGGATTCCCACTGAGGAGGAGAACCTCGTTCCAAGCCCGGTTGTACTCACCCCTAACAAGTGTGCAGCTCATTCCGATGCAATCAACCAGACACTGAAAAATGTAAAGAGATGAGACGGGTCGCGGTATGATTATTTGGAGAGAAATGGATTAAATGAAGATGGTTATGTGGTGTATGAAAACTTGAGAAATGGAGGGAAGGGGCTGAAAATCAATTGTCAAAAGAAAGTAAAATGTAAAGGGTTTTTACAGAGAGAACAAAGCTGATGATGCCGTGTGGTTGCTTCAGTGGTACCTTAAAGAGAAGTGCCCTATGGCAGTAGATTCCCCTTCTGATCAAACCAATAGGAACTACATTAGACTGGAGCTGAAACTTGAGCTCGCTGAGGTGCAGCACCCATGGGAATTCGTGCAACTTTTCCATCTCCACTGCTCCACCCATGGCTTCACTCACCAGCCTGACACACAAATCCAGGCACACAAAACCCATTAGAATTCAGGAACCTTTCAAATGTTGCATCCTGAAGTCTTACACTGGTAGGTTTCTATTGTGTGTCTACCGTGTATCTGTGCTGTTAACCTCTGGTGACATGTGATTTTGGAGATTTGAAAACAATGACTGCTAATCATTTAATGAGATGATTTGTGGTGGCATCTCTGCATGTCGGTTACATGCTGCCATGACTGCATTAATCTGTCACCTGGCCAAGACAGCATACTGCCCTCGTTCATCAATTAGCGGAAGGACGGATTTTTTGGCCTCTTTAACCAGAAGCTGCAATGCGACGTCATCCATCATCTTCCACGGTTTCTCTGACTCGGGCTGGGTCTCATCTTTCTGTTTGTCATCACCTTTCTTCTTCCTGTACAGAGAGACAGGACATTAAAAAGAAATCTGAGTCAGTGTCTTAAAAATAGGGGAGAATATCAGTGGTTTTACAGCCCTATACTTAAAATATTACTTTAAGAAGCCTTAATGAAAGAACATGTTACTATATAATAAAGTAATAGTAAATATTTGTGTTTAACATTTCTTTGTAAATTACAGACTAAATAAACCTAATAATCCTACATTTTGAAATACCAACCATTGTGTTAGGATGTATACTAGAGGAGAGAGGAGTACATACATGCAACATGTGTAGAAAACACACATGAGGACACATACACACTAATAATAAGTAATACTAATGTATTATACTTACTTTTCATTTCTAAACAAATTATTATTATGTAGGTGAGAAAACTTGCTGTGGTATCCAAACACTGCAGCATTTTCATTCACTTTAAAAGCAGACAAATAGGATCTGAAATCAAGTCTCTTCCTCTGCTATTGTAATATTACGGCCAAAACGATTTGAAATGCACGACTGCAAAACTCCCTGAGCTGCTTTACCGTCACATCTTACCAGTCTAACACATTATGTTCTTGAGATATTCTGCAGACAAATAGGAGCAAAAGCTGAACCTTCCTTGTTAAAGTAGTTCAAATCTCAGTTTAAAAAAGGCACTGTGATGCTCAGGAAATGTATTCTAGTAAGAGACATTTTGTTTTATAAAGTTAAAAAGTTACACTTTGGTCATACTAAGCCATGGATGGATTACATAACACACTGCTTAAGAATGCCTGAGATGTTGTGTGTGTGTATGCATGCTGAAATAGGGACAATGGGGTGGACCTGAGGTACCCTGAGGGGGTACTGCTCTCTTTGGCAACGTTAATCCATCAAAATGCTGAAAGCTTGTGGGAGCGTTACTGTGTGTGTGTGTGTGTGTGTGTGTGTGTGTGTGTGTGTGTACAGCCTTTAATACATATGGTGCGTTTTTTATTTTGTGTGTCTAAGTCAGCACTTACATATATTATATGTAGCATCTTCAGCTGCATCCTCATGGATGTGCATGCACTTGTTCACGTTTGTGGTTGTAAGTCCATTAGTCTAAACACAAAGGCTCTTTCACTCTGAGTGCATTGCCATCTTTAAAAAATGGGATGGTTTACCCTGTGAGGCCATGCTAACGGGGCACGCTGAAGGCAACGGGGAGATGGGGAAAAAAGAAGAGAAAGAAAAAGAAGTGGAGCACTGGATTGGAGCAGACAAGGGGAGGGTGATAGTAATCTAACAGCCACAATAAATTGTACTGACAAACTACATGGTGTGGCTGGGAGTGTAGGAAACCTTTCAGCCAACGCTCTACCACTATCTGTGTGGTTGTTCTTGTTACTATCCCACTCTGCTTGTAATGTAAGAGGCATGGTTAGCTGTGATAGCTTGGGGTAGGGAGTTTACTGAGCTGGAATATGATCCATACAAATAATGTTTACAAACAATGTTTACTTCTAGTTTGTAGGAATTTTTCTAAAAACAAGAAAACATACTCTGGTGCTGTGTTGACAACAATAATGGGCTGGTGCTGGTTGACAGGCTGCTTGGACAGTTTGGACAGTTCCTCTAAAGTCAGAATCTTCTGACCTGGACGAGCCTGAGAGAGAGAGAGAGAGAGAGAGAGAGAGAGAGAGAGAGAAACAGTATTATGCTAAAAATCTAAATGTTAAAATATCCTTTGCTACACTATGTTTTCTTCTTCACAATAGACAGACGGAAAACAGAAAACTGTTGTTGTGATCACGTTGGTGAAATCAGTTCAACAGGTTAAAGATACAAAATAATAAATTCTGAGCATGTCTGTAGTTTGACAGCTGTTTTTTTTTATTTAGCTTTCTTTCTTCTTTCTGTTTCACAAAACTTTCAGTAGCGTACACACATACACACACCTTCCCGGCATCATAGAAGCCATCACTAATAACATCACTGGAGGCCAAATGACTTGTCAGACTGTATTTAACAGACAGGTTGGAGTTGAGCAGGCTGATCATAGCCAACTCGCTGAAACTGCTCCTACGATTCACTGATTGGTTGATTTTCTGAAGCATTTCCAGAGCTCTGAAACACACATACATACAAGCACATTCATATATTTAGACTTTGATGATAAACATAGAAATGCACACAATAACAAACAGATACATAAATAAACAAATGACCCATACTTTCTTAAGTAGCCATACATAACACTGTCCTATACCGCCATCTATTGGCTGTTTAAAAGATTACTCTGAGTTGGCTATACTACAGCTATACTTTTACTTACATTACATACATTACTCAACAATGCTCCTCCTGTTCTACATTTCATAATTCATCTGTCATGCCCTGATGTCAGTGTTATCTGTCATTTCAGTGTCTTACCCAAATTTGCACATTTTCACAGCAGTGTGCTCATTACTGGCACAGACACTGATAGCCAAGCATACATTATGCAACACCTCCTTGTGATAGGAGTGCAGCAAATTGACCAGTGGTTGAAGGCCTCCAGCACTTTGCAGCTATGTAAGACAGGGGGTGAAATTTAGATAGTCAGTGAAAGCATATGAAATATTTTTGGAGAATTTAAAGGAGACTGTTGTCATTGTTAAACATAAGAACCAATCACTCACTCAGCACATACGAACACTAACCTCTGCCCTAGCTTCTGCATCACAGACCAGCACTGCCAGGCACTGCGTAGTGTTGACCAGGACCTGTGTATTTGTGGACTTCAAGGGCTCCACTAGAGCCTGTACGGCTCCATGTGACAAGATGCTGCAGCGGATAACCTCCTGTCCTGCCATGATGCCAAGTGTGGCAGCAGAATTGGCCACCGTCCTGGGACAGCTTCCATAGAGCTGCTGGACAAGAATCTCATGGCCTCCTGCCTCGTACACGGCACTGGAAGATACCACAGAAATGGGTGAGAAATGTACTTTAAACCTACAGAGCTGACTCTTAATGCAGTCTCACAATATAGCAAACAACAAAGTATTTCTGTAATGTGGGTGCGACATATGTTATTTGTGCAAATAAGTAGGAATAACAAAACAAATAACAGATAAGAACACAAATACTAACAGTAAGAGAAGTGGAGATTTTTAGATTTAGATTAGATTCAACTTTATTGTCATTGCACAAAGTAGTAAGACAACAAAGTGCAGCAGTCAATGAAATGCAGTGAAGGTGACAGTAATACTGAAAAATGAAGTCAGAGAGTGGGAGATGAGTATAGGGAAGATTTGTCAGGAAAATGAAAAGGCTGGAGATTAAATGGAGAAAGGAAAAGAAGAGAGGTAAAGAGATATTTACTGAGGGAGAACCCCGAGAAGACAGATGAAGCATTAAATCATTTGTGAAGGGGAGAGGAAGGCATACTGCTCAACTTTAAAACCACAACATTATTCTAAGCCTCAATTTAGACCTTGCAAACTTATCACTGAATGTCTTACACAACTTGCAATAAGTTACACAGAGGACATCATTAATACTTTGCGGTATGCACACTCAAAAGACCTTGAAATTATTCATTTTCTGGGTCTTTTACTGTACTTACTGGTAGGTATGATATTTGTTGTATGTACAAAAGATCTAACTTACTCTAAGAATAATAAAATATGCACTTAGGTCAACTGTCACTCACAATGTGTTGAGCTGGTTGCTATGTGTGAGGTTAGAGAGAGCCTGGGTTGCTGCTTCTTTCAGCACCAAACTCTCATCGCTCAGCAACTGTACAACTGCAGGGATACCACCTGAAACAGACAAAAACACAACTCACTCACACTTCATTGTGGTCAGTGTGTTGACCGTATGGTGCTTGTGTGAACGTGTATGTACCCAGGTCTCTGAAGCTGTCTTTGCTGGCTAGGTGGAAACTCATGGCGTCCACAGCCTGGCAGATAGCTGTTTTCACGCTGACGTCCGCCACAGACAGAAGCTCTACCAGGACCTTCTCCACGTTCTCCTCATGGAGCAATTTGCGATTCCCAGCTACACACACAGTAAAGTAAAGTAAAGTAAAACTATAGTTGGAAAGTTAAGAAAATGATTAACTCTTGTGTCCTTCTGTGCTTACCGCTCTGAGCAACCTTGGCGATGCATTTAACAGCGTTGGACTGGATTTCAGACACATTGGGGGTGAGAATAAACTCCATCAGCCTTGTCAGTCCTCCCCCCTTGTGGATCAGCTGTAAACTCTCACTGTCACTCAGACAGTTGGCAACTACCTGTAAGGCCTCAGCATTAAGGTCGCTTAAGTCCTGTAAGAAATAAAAACAGAGATAACAGGATGAAGTAGAGGACACTGACCTCAAATTGGATACAGATTTCAGCAGTTGGGGGTTGACAACAAGTACTTATTCAAAGGGAACCATTTCAGATAATGGTGCATATATAGGCAGTTATTACCCTCTCCAAATTCTTACTTCTCATTTTTATTAACACTAAAGGGCAGGATGAAGATATACGTGTTACCACAAAAGCATTTGCTCTCTCTCACACACCTACCGTATTACTGAGGATATCCATGAGCTTCTCAAATCCTTGCTCATCCCTGAAGGCGATGCGTGTATCTTTATCAGTGGTGACATTCTGCAGTGTCTTCAAAGCCAAATGCTGAATGACAGGAAAGTCTGATTTCAACAGTTCCAGAAGTGGAGGGATCCCGCCCAACTCATGTACTGCCAGACGACTTTGGTAGTCCTTCATATATATAGTAAAACAGAGAATACAAGCGGACAAAAAGAACCATTTGAATTTCACCCTTACTGAGACTATATCTTACAGAGATACTGATTAATGTAACTTCTACTTGTCTACAATTAAATTCATCATAACCGCATAGCTTTATAACCTTCTCTAGGCTGAGTCACCTGAACTAGGTTGAAGATGATCTCTATGGAGTTCTTCTGGACATCTGGGTCTGGACTGGATAGGAGCTGGATTAGAGGTGGCAGGCCCTTGTTGTCAAAGATCTGGACCTTACAGACGAAATCCACTGACAGGGAGGCCAGGCACAGCGTTGCAAACTCATGGACAACTATATCTTCTGGAATAGGTGAAATAGAAAATAGTTGGGTTTTTTTTTTGCAGCTAATATACAGGAAATTTCTACTTCTGAGTCTATTCATCTTGTGATCAAAATGACTCACCTTCAAGTGACAGTTTGTCAATGATTGATGGAATGACATCTGATTTTTTAAGAGCATTCTTTACATCACCTTTCAATGAAAACATGAAACAAAGTTAATCAATCACTTATTCAGGGAGCCAATCCATCAGCCAGTCACTCAAAACAAGTCAACAAAACAGTGAATTCTGTAGCCGGTCAACAAATCTCTAAACAGTCAATTGCCTGACGAGCAAGGAGGATGGTTAGGAAGTTGGTCTGTAAGTTAAAAGGCAAGTCGGTTGCATTGTAAGCCACAAAACCAAACGAGTCTGCACTAATGTTCGTATGTTGTCTGACTCACTGTTGGTGACCATGACGCCCAGGGCCATGACAGCGTTGCGTCTGACCAGCTTATTGTTGTGATTGATGAGGTGACAGAGCGGCGCCAATGCCCCAAGTCCCAGCAGAGAAACCTTGTTCTCATCTCCTAACAACAGGGGGAGACAGTGAACAGGAAAATTAAGCATGCCACTGCCAAACAGACCTGAGTGCCTGTGGACTTTTATTATGTAGCAGCAATGTAGTTTAGATGCAGTGTGACTATAATGTGAAAGAAAAAGGCTTTAGTGGGGATTAAAGCTAAAATGAGGTGGTATTCAACACAGTAATATAAAAAGAGATTTTGATTCAAAATAACAACATTTTACACGTCAGCTGCTGTTTAGTGCTTTATGAGGGTTGAATGGAGACATATTAGATGATTTCACAGTAAATGTCAGGAAATGAGACAAGACAGTGGTGGACACAATATATGTTGTGCTTTTCTGCTGCAGGGTTGCTCACCAAAAACACAGAAAATGTTGTGAGTGGGAAGCCTACTGTACCTTTCTCTGCAAATGTGTGGATCGCCTCGCAGGCTTTGACAAGGATGTCCTCCTCTGGGGAGCTCAGCAGCAGCACTACTGTTGCTGGGGTTTTACCTTCCACAGGTAGTGGTTCAAACTGTGTGTGTGTGTGTGTGCTGTGAGAGCAGCCGCAAAGACGGCAGACCCGCACCGGCAGAGACGAACCAAGCGCCTGCTTCTTAACTGGTCCTGTGGATGTATAGTAATTGCTTTTGCCAGACTAGGGGCGGCCATCTATTTCCAGTGCTTCAGCTTCAAGGGGTAAAAAAATGAGAAGGCTTTTTATTATTATTACATGGCTCTCTCACCGTTTCCTTGCACGGAGTTTCACTCTCCTTCTTCACCTTCTTTCCCATTGTGCGAGAGTCCTGGTGAGAAAATGCAATTTAACCAAATGTGTCTGAACAGCATTTACTTATCGTCCAATAGCTGCTCAGTGTCATCGACTGCATGACCTGTCATAGCTATGCTGGCTAATCCACAAAGCTAACCCCGACACAGCAGCAGTGTTCCCGGTGCGCATTCAAAACAGTCAGACCTGAATATCACCGCCTCAAATATTCACTGCGACTTACCTGTTTTTGTTTTCCAAACTGAAGGACAAGCTCAAGGTGTATAACAACTAAACAGAGCCGCACTGTAACTTTAGTGTTATGGAAAAGGAGGTTGACACCGCGTTGCTAGGCAACGGGTGCCACGTTGGGCTAAACAAGGGTTTGAACAGATAGATAGAAATACTTTATTTGTC